ACCTTGAAGTGTACTGCCTGTCCTGATTTGCTAAATGTGCATCACAGATGGTTTCTTGCTACAGATCTGTGTTCATTTCTGTCCTAAGGCTTAGTCAGTGATACCCTGCCTAGAGAAGTGGGTGGAGAAGGGAGAAAAGGAACCACTGAAAAATTTAGTGTGTAAACCCGTGTGAGAATCCCATTCAACCCTCCTGGCATTTACAATTGTGCCATCGCATGCCGTTAGTATTTGTAGAGTTGCCCTCTTGGAGAGAAAGGGTATGATCGGGTTAGAGAGGTAAGGAGCATGTGGGAAGCAGCAGGGGGTCCTCTGGATTTTTTGAGTATGTGGGAATATATGATGTGTTGTTTATCCAAATATATGACCATTTACTGTCTCTGGGGCTCTAGATCCCCTTTCCCAACCAAACACACCGTTGTTGCTGTTGGCTGTCATCACCTTATACGTGCAATACGGTTGCAGCTTCTCATGTAGATGTGTTGCTGGGTCCTTTAGTTACCAGCTGAAAGCAAACGCTCCCTGGGTAATTCACGTGTGTGAGAACATTCCGTGTCTATCTACTGACCTTTGCATGCCTCAACCACCCTGAATGCATCTTGCAGAAGGACTTGTACAGCGCAGAAAGATGGGAAGAGCAGTACCGACTGCTCCCGGTAAAGCTGGTGTCCATGCGGCCTTATTTCACCTGGGGAAAGGAGGGGACACACACAGCCCCTGAGAAACTGTCTCCCCAGAAACTGGTGTGAATTGATTATTTAATAACAAACAAGCACAGTGCCTGGTTTTTTATTCTTTTTGTGCCCGTGGTACTCGCACACGTTCGGTGTGGTGAGATTACTGCCTAAGGCTGCCCCCAAAGAGCTGCAAGAACAGGAGCCCATTGAACTCATGCTGGTTCCGTTGCATGTCTTAATGAAGCTTTAAAATGCTTGAAATTGTCTTTGAAATGAAATATTCCATAGCTGCAAGCTAACTGCATACTTTGTAATAATTGCTTAGCCAAATAAAGGAAAACTGTGAGGAACAAAGAAAAAGTAGATTGATGGCTAGAAGAAAATGATTAAATAAAAAATTCATGAAGAGGAGAAATTAAAAAAAAAAAGTAGCATAGCATCACAGGCTTTTGCACAGAGGCTTTGCTTCCGATGGGAGCTTTTCTTTTCCAGCTCTTACTGTGCATTTTATTCTCTCTGTTTGCTGCAAATACTAGGAAAACTTTTTCTTTGAGAATAATGGGGAGGATGGTCATAAATATATGCAGAAACTGGGACACAGAGTAAAATTTAAAAGCAGAGGTATCATTCTGCTGCCATTCTGAGTGCGGGTATGGTGCACTGTAAATAATTAATGATTTGACTGGAATTGCCTTTTCTTTTTAACTCTTAAATCAACTGTGACTAAACAGAAAAAAAAAAAGAGGAAGACTTCTATTCATAATTATCATACCAACTTCTACACTTGGAGCCCTTTCTCATTCAAATTTACTGCTCTTAATAACAGAATGAATAAATTGCTGTCAAGGAACTTCTCTCATGGTTAGCCTTTCTCTCTGTTTGCAGGTTAAGACCAGCAAATCATTATTTGTGAACATTTTTTAATGTCCAAAAGTATCCGAGAAGTGCGCAACTGTTTTGAACAAATTATTTTTGAAGAATCAGTACACTCTCAGGTTTTGTGTCCTTGCTATGGCATGAAAAAACATTCTGGAATGATTTTAAATTACAGTGCATTTAGGAAGAAAATACAGAAGATAGTTACAATGAACAGTAGGCCTTCGGGGAGATACCTACAAGCTAATGCAGGCATTTAAAAATATGAATATTGTTGTAAAGTCTTTAGGTGATGTCTGATAATAGATATTTAATCTAGCAAAAGCACTTCCATTGCTTACTTGTTAAAGTAATTTAACGGATGAGTGATGCTATTAATGGACCACATGTAGAATCCAGACTTTTTTTGTTCAAAACATTTCTTTCAGTTTAAATTTCTAAACAAGTTCAGAGGCAATTTGAAGAGATCTAGCCTATATGCAAGCTACAGGAATCACAATTTATGAACTTTTCTTCTTCTTAGCATCTCTTCTGCATTTCACTGAGTATACGTATGTGCGACTTTAAGTTGGCTGAGTGTGTGATTGAGCATGCAGAAAGGAAGATGAACAGAGGGCTTAAAAACATAAGTTATCTGAACAAACAAACAATTTCAATCTTCCCTTTTTTTGAGAGAGAGAGAATTGTGTTAGTGGTATCCGTAGCATAGTTCTGGCAAAAAAATTGAGCAAAAACCTGAAATCGTAGCAAAACCAGCCTTTCTTTCCACCCCAATGCTTTGGGATACTGGAAGAATTGAAGATAGACATCTGGAAAACAGATGATCAGGTAATAAAATTAAACTTTTAAGTTGGTATTTTAACACCAGTTAGTATGATAAAGCCGCGCTGTTTTGAACAACTGCAGAAGTTCACTGGTGAGCATTGCAGTTTTGCTTCAGCTAGTACTTCATTTCTTTTCTGAACACATGACTATATATTGCTGAAACTCAGATATCAGCCATACAGAGTAGAAAGCTGGGGAAATAATCTGTTGTAAATGTCTCTTTGACTTCATGAGGATGACTGCACAGTCACATAGCTTAGTGAAGAACTAAAATGTGGTTGTTGACTCCCAAGATCAGCCATTTCCAAATAAATGTTTGTGAAACCTCCAACTCTAATAGCTGCATTGTATCATCCAAAGATGCACAACAGAATGAATAGATGACCTTTCAGACAGAGAACAAGCTGTTCACAATGTCTTTTCATTTACTGAGACAAAATATTCTTTTTATGCAGAGATAATACTTTCCACCGTTTTTAGCAACGTTGCCAAAATATAAAGAATTTAATTGTTTTGTTTCTGAATGCAAGGGGGTTTAGCTATGTGTCTTTAGATCAGGACTCTTTCTAGACCAGCTGTGTTAAATGCATTGATCTCGCTAGATTTATTTTTTTTAAAAAAAAAAGACAATGGAGGTATTTTGAATCCCGTGCTCCCAGGGTGGGATGTCATTAGCTATCCATCCGTGTGATATCCACATGATATCTGGCTTTGAATGATACAAGGACAAATTCTTATTACCATCCTGCACTGCAGCTATGGGGTCAATAATTTACTGACAAGGAGGTCGAAGGCAACCAGTAGCTGAAATTGGTCTAAATTATTGTGAAATTGCAGCCTTGGCGTGAAAAGCTGCTGGGGTGCTCTCAGTTGCACACTCGTACACGAGCACTAGCTTGGACTGGAACAGATCGCAAACAAATAGTGAGAAAATCAGGATACGGAAATCAGGGCTCAGTCTTGTCTTTCCCACGTGAGGTGTGGTTTGGCCCTTAGTCTTTGCAGTTGTAAATCTGCCACTTAAATCACAACTGAAATCATAGCTGAGTAATAATACTAACTAGTAACAACTAGTTATACTGGTAACGTATTTTTTGCTCTGCAATATAACTGTAATTACTTCTGTGATTGTTCAGCCTCTGTCCATGTTCCTGCTCTTACCTGATAAAGCAGGTGGTGCAAATCTGTTTTCTTGTTGAAGGGGACACAGTATGTCTGCTGGAATTCAAGGAAATATGGTGAACAGGAGCTCCTTAAAACTCGAGGAAAAGCTTACCATTTTAGGAAGAAAAAAAAAATGGCAAAAAACCGCGCACAAACATTTTTATTTTGGAGTTAAAAAGACCAATATAATTCTCTTGTCTGTTTGCAGAAAACTAAAGATTTTGTTGTTTGTGAACCAAATACAAATTCATTCCTAGATCACACGTCATATGTGAGTAGTTTACTAAAATTGGAAGCCAATTTGTTTTAAGAATTGTAGAATGATTTCAGTTGGAAGGGATCTGTGAAGGCATCTGGTCCAAACCTTGCTCGAAGCAGGTCCAGTAAGACCATGATGCTCAGAGCTTTGCCCAGGCACTCCCTGAATACACCTGATGTTGGAGGTTCTGCAGTCTGTCTAGGCAGCCTGTCTGGTGGCTGACCCTTCTCACAGGAGAAAAAAAAAATAAAAAATAAAAAATCCCTTGTATGTAGACAAATTTCCCTTTGTTGCAATCTCTGATGATGGCCCCTTATCATTTTGCTGCACACCTTCAGGAAAAGTCTGGCTTGGTCTTATCTCTACTCTGCCATTGGGTTGGTGAAGACCACCATAAGGTGACCCCTGAGCCCCCTCATCCTAGGGCAAACCCAGTCCTTTCAGCCTCCTGCCGTGTGCCATAAAGGTTTGGAAAAATCCTAAACCTAGCATGGCATGGGAATGAGGAATGGGAAAGTGACACTGAGATCCGAACTCGCAGTGCCATTCATCCTGACAGCCTGAGGTGCTACACCTGCAGTGGGTAGAGATGGTTGTTAGCAAGTACCTTCAGCCTGGCTTTATAACACTGATAGAAGCCAGGTGGAGGAAAAAACCTTCCATAATGTAGCTAAATAAACCTTAGAAAAAACTTCTCAGCACTTGCAGTGATGCCCACAAGACTAACCAGCTAAAGATTTGAATATATTTATTTCATGGTTCTCAACTACTGCGCATAGATGTTAATCCCAGTACATGGCAATCACAGTTTTCTCTCTCCTATTAGTAAAAGCTGTTCTTCTAAACTTCAGAACAGCTCAGCTGGTGGAAAGGTTGCTTTGCATGCAGCAGAGCCAACCAGGGTGGTGGTGTTTGTGATAAGGACTCTTAGTGATTACCGAACTGCTTCTTGCTTTGTAGATATTTGTGCTTGTTGGTTCTTCGAGAGCTGAGGATGTGCTTGTTAAAACATCTGATCTCTGCAGTGGCAGCGTATTGTTAATGGTTTGGAACTTAAAGTTTGATGTATTCTGTATGCTTTGGACCCTTTTTTGGGGGGTGGGTGTCCTATTCCTTCCATAGATACTAACAGGAGTGGATACACTCTTCCTTCTCTCACTAGTGTATTGTGCCTTGGGCTTTATTGTCTTCCTCTGCAGAAACTCTCCTGGATGACTTCCTTCTCACGTACACGGTCTTCATGACGACTGATGACCTGTGCCAGGCACTTCTGAGGCAATATCCTTTTTTTAAGTGTTGTATTGGAGGGGTCTCACACACATAGGTTTATGTATTGTCAAGCCTTATATTGTAGCAAATTGCATGCCTTGAATAATGAGTTTTGCTGTTTGCATATTGATATTATTGAAATATAACCCCACATGATTGTTTTGAGGTTGCATGTAAAAATGGTGAGAAAAGAGAACAATTGTCTAGTATTCACTATGGCATGCTGAGCAGGTGGACTGCACCTGAGGTGTTGTCATCACACCCCAAGAAATGCATGAACAACTAGGAGAAACTTCAGAAGAGAGCAATAGTAATTACTGGTATTCTAGAAAGAAAGATGTGCAAAGAAGGATTGAAAGAATTTGGATTGTTTTGTTGAAAAAAGGGAAACTATAAATGGGACAATCTTTCACGTACCTAAAGAGGAAGGGAGTTAGGGTGGACTTGAATGGACTAGTTCAGCTGATCTTTCAAGGTCTCTTCTCCAGTCCAATTTTCATAAGGTTTTATGATAATTGGAATTGAATTCAAATCTGTACCTTCCCAAAGTTCAGGTTATATTGTTTTCTTAACTCAAATGGGTTGTGGAGGAAAAGATATAATCTGAATTTGGATATGAGTTCCCCTAATTGGCACACGTCCCTGTGAAAATATATATACACACACACACACACACACATTCACCTATTAAAACATCTAGAATTGCGTAGCTGAGGAATCAATCAACAGAAAATTCCTGCTCTGAAGTTGAATGTACAAAGCTGAAGTTGCCTCTGAATAAACCTGTATCCCAAACATACACATTTGTGTATGTCCATACTTACTTCACAAGAATGCTTGAAGGATGTATTGAGCCAGATGCCTAACTCATAGCCACAACGCAATCTTGTGTCTGCTGGTTTTGTTTAAAGATAAATAAACCTCTATAACTTTATAAAATAACGTTTGAAGTGGGGTTAAGACCTAGATGTTAATTCTTAGAATACCTATATCTGTGTGATACATTTTGTAATACATGAAGAGAAAAAAATGAAGAATAAGTATTTTACGATCTCTGCTCCTTTTATCACGTGATACAGTATATAAGTCTAACTCATTCTGAGGTAAAAGAATTTTTTTTCTTATATTTCTGATTGCTTCCATAACCTGTGGAGCATTGATTGAATGAACTCGTGGCTATAAAATGAACTTGCTTTTATTTTTTTATTTTCTTTTCTTTCTTTCCTCTTTACCTTTTGTGGTGAAAACATAATCTTTTTACCTAATAAAAGAAAGAATAGCGAAGGGACAGGAACAATGTACAAAGTGAGTATCTTCTGTCATTTGCTGTTTCTGCTTTGTGAATAGAGAACAATGGTGGGAATAGATTCTTTCACCCGTTTTTTTTTTTTTTATTTTAATAGTGTTATTTCTGCAGATAGTGTAATTTGTGCGGGGAAAAAGAAGCTGACTTCCTCTGCCTGGGTTTTTTGTTGTTGTTAATGAGGCATTGTCCTCCTTCCCACAGACATTCACGTTGGCATCGGTGTGCAGGACAAAGGCTCGTTCCCAGTTCTGCAGAAAAGATGTGACTCAACATTGTATAATTCCTTTTGAATTGATTTGACTTTTATAGGCTCGCCTCTCTAATCTATGGAGGAAAAAAAATCCTGTTGGCACAGAGGATGAAATGACATTTCTATTACTGAGAATTTCATTCCAAAAAGTTGATGAAACTCCTAAAGCTCCAGATGGGATAAAACATTTAAAGCTGAGCAATGTAGTGAAAAAAAATAATCTTTCATTAGCAAGTGAGATGATTGCAAAGTCTTTTCCATCACTTAATTTTTAAGTTTCAGTGAGCCATTATTTGTTCCTTAACCTTCTGTACCTATTGTGCTAAGAACCACCAAGGGAAAGAAGACGACTCTGATGTGTCCTGCAGGAAACGAAAAGTCTTGCATTTGGTGTCTCAGTGGACTTCTCTCTACAAAGACTGGTTACACGAAGATGAGCATTTAAAACAATTTTTAAAGGTATTGGAACATTTTCTGATGCATTTCAGCACTGTTTAATTAACATACTGTGTCTAAAAAGCCCCAATAGCAAAATCTATAAAGCATCATTTTTCATATTTAAGTTTTCTCCATGAAATCTGTAATATAAAATAATTTACATTTGTCTTCCTTGAATGCCTTGGAGTTAGTCCGTTTGAACAGAACACCTGTAATGTCAGTACATTCAGTGTCAAAAACATTACTTTCAGATACGAAACTTAACAGAACTCCATGCTGTCTAGAAAATGGGAAAAGTTAGGGGGGTAGGAGATAAAACTACAGAGATGCAGAGGTTCCTTGGACATGTTGGTCATGTCTGCCAGAACAGGGTTTACAGTCTGATCCAGAGGATCACGGATGAAGAGAGAGCTTTGAGGTCTTTGGAAGAGATGCAACTTTGACTGAGGAGTGAAATGCTGTTCCACAGTGTTTGTCAGGTGCATATGCAGAGCAGCACAGCTTCATGTATTTTTAATAAATAAAATTATTTTATTTATTTAAGCAAGGATCTTCTGATCTTTCTGAATGAGTTCCAAAAGCTTTTATAATTCCCTTGTAAATTTGCAAATAGCCATGTCATCGCAGACCCAAGATCCATCTAGTTGTTGATTTTTATTTTTTTTTCCCTGCTGGTTGAAAGAGGAAAGTATTTTAGGAGACTTTGCAGGATCTTGCACTATTCCTGATGAGGCTGTCTGCAACTGGAGATCTTCTTAAGGGCTTTTGAGTTCTCTTCAGTGATTTGCTTAAGGCAAAGGGATGAAAGATTGAACTAAATTTGGAGAAAGTCTTAAGATTCCTTTTTTTTTGTTTCTGGGTTTTTTTTTTGGAGTAGGACGCATTGAATATAGAAGCAGAGACCTTGGGATTTTTGCTGTTTGGTACTAGATGTGGAGTGCTGTAGTGGAAGGGGGCATCATTCCACCTGTCAGGTTACACTGCGCTGCACCTCTCTTGATGCAGGGCTTGTCTTCCTGGCCATGGAGGTGTGTGACTGCGTATTGTGTACGATTTCTCTGCTTGAGGCTTCTGTACAATATTAAACAGTGGTAGTGCTAATGATGGTTGAAGTTACACGTGCAAAAGCAATATATAGGATTGTAGGCCAGAATCATTCATGCTGAAATTTATGAATGTAGGAGTGTTAATTTGGGCTAAAGCAAACCTGATGACTCAAGTCATACATATGATCCTCAGTTTCTTGGAAGGGAAGGAGAAGGATCTGTGTGCAGGTTCTGAAAAAGTATAGAGAAAGTAATTCCTACAATTTCAATCATAAAAGCTGATTCAGTTTGTTTACCTCTTATCTGAGATAGTGTCTTTTACATTTAACTGAGGTTCCTAATTGATGATATTCAGACAATGCCTCCCCCAAAAATAAGAAGTAGGGTTTATTTGTTCATTTATTGGCTTACAACTAAGGAGTATGTTGTTATTTGTTTGTGAGAGACATCAACTCAGTTTAAAATGCATGCGAATGTGAGGAAAAGTAAAGGAGAACATCCTCCATTTAAAACGTCCTAATCAAGTGAACCTATTTGTTATCGTTTTGTATAAGTGATGATGGTGCAGTGTGTTCTCACAGTTCAGGATGTGTTCTGACCTAACCCAGATTTCATGTAACAGACACAAGTGTTGTTTTAAGTCCTCCTGTTTGTAGACTAATACATTTTGCCCTTTCGCTTGGTGATGATACACAGAGAGTGTTTCTCCAAAGGCAAGGTGAATATTGACCAATCTGGAAATTTAAACAGGAACATTCTCTCCTTATGGGTCTTGCATAAATATAATGATGAAATTTGTTTTAGGAGGCTAGTGCCTGAATTGATTTAGACTGCCAATGTGATGCCTTATATTTATGTTTGAGTTATCAGATGTTTGTGGTTATGGTTTTGTTTTGTAGACAATATACAGGAATGTGTTAGATGATGTGTATGAATATCCCATTCTTGAGAAGGACCTGAAAGAATTTCAGAAGATACTTGGGATGCATCGTCGTCAGTAAGTGTTGTTTCTTTTTGTGATCAAGTCTCCTTTTATTTACAGTGTAATTTATTTTTGTTGTCATCTTGCTGTAATTCAGTAAAGTAATGAGTAATACAAGTACTATATTAATTTTTACAAGTCATCTCTTCTTTAAACTAAAGCTAGATTATTCAGTCTTCTCTCATGTTTGTGGAGTGGTGTGTGTGGTTCGACAGTCATTCCCATCAGTTGTGGTTGGGATGACTTGCAAGTGGAGTCATACTTTGTGGAAAAGCTGGCAAAATCTCCCTCAGAAGCTGCAGTCTGTGACTTCGTGGTACCTTCATTCTCATTCTCTCTCTGCAATCTGCAGTACTCGGAGGCAAAGCTGTTTTGCAGTAGTCATCTAAAGGTTGTTATTTTACTAATAATCATGGTATTTGTAAAAGCTATTTCCTTGGCACGTTTTTTCAACAAATGGAGTTTATTTCCGTGGTTTGGCCATTGGGGAGCTGGAAAGAGCTGTGTCCCTGAGGGTAACCCTGACTGCTTACCCCGGGGGCCCGAGCTGTGTCCGTGTTCTCCGGCTGCTCGCAGGCTGCAGCATTGCTTTTCACTACATCAGTTGTGCAAGTCACAGAAAAGTTTTCTGGCTGGGCCGGACAACCTTAGCTTTCCCTGAAGGAGCTCTGCAGCCATTCTGTGGCCACCATTTAATGTTAAAAACTTTCTGATGTTGTAAACTTTGTAATAGCTAAAACTTCATTTTCCTAAGCTTTGGCTGCAAAGAATAATTTGGATTTTCCTTTTTGTTTCAGCACTGTAGATGAGTATTCACCTCACCGAAAGGTAATGCAAACCTGATTGTTGCTGGTTGCTTTTCATCTCACTTTCTTCCCCTCTGCCCACTTCTGTCTCTTTTCTTGCTTTCTCAGCTGAAAGTAATTGGTGGCCAAAAACATGACAGGATACATCAGTGAGGTTAGACCTGCAACATTGCTTAAGGAATTTTTTTTCCTGCCAGTGCAGCCTGGATATCAGCTGTGTGAGCTAACCTGCAGTGGCTATGACAATATTAGCATCTTAACAAGGTGCTCTGAGATGTCAGAATTCAGGAGGGGCCTGGGACCGTCCCCCCACTGGGCTGGAGAGATTTAGCAACCTGGGCAACCCAGGGTGAGAAAGGCATTGACATGGATGTCAAGTAGGCAGAGCAAAGGGGGGATTTGTTGTGACTTGCTGTGACAGGGATAGAGAAAGAAAGAGAAGAACATGAATCTGTTTATTTAACCAGAGGGAGAAGATGCAGCTGGAGAATGTTGGCATACAAACTGCACAGAGGTGAATTGCTGTGCTCGTCAAATTTACTGGGCTGAAGCTGAAGTGTGTAATAAGCTTAAAATGTTACTGCGGAAATGTGGAAGGCAGAACATGAGATTGTAGTGAAATTGCTAGACTTACTCGTACATAGGAAACGTCTATGAGAATAAGCGTGTAAGAAATGGGCTCTGAACATGACTACAGAGAACCTTGAATCGTGCAGGCTGCTTAGCCTTGGCATGTCCTGCTTCCTCCAAAATCCCCACCTTGGCCATTAGTAAGGCAACTCCCAGTTTACTGATTTAAAAAAGGGTGGGTGGATTTCCTATACAAAAACCTTTCTGGCCGGACGTATGGGCTGAATGCTGTGTTCTGTGAAATTCTGCTTTGTGAAGGGCAGGGATGTAAAGAGTCACTGTTGTCTCTTTCTTTTTTCTTTTTTTTTTTTTTTTTTTCTCCCACTGCCTCACAGAATAAAACCTTTTTCCACCAGTTCAGTGTAAAGGAGAACTGGCTGCAGCACAGAGGAACCATGAATGAAACAGAAGAAAGTAAGTATGATTGAAAGAGTGGAGGAAAAACTCCAGAACTGCAAAATTGTTTCTCAAGGGCTGCCCATAATGTAAATTTTTTTTTTCTTTTTTAACTGACATACAGCTTCTGAACAGGACCTTAGGGCTTCAAAAGAACTGGGTACTATTTCCTTCCTGCCCCCTACTTTGCAGGGGTTCAACAGTGACATGGTATCTCAAGGGGTTTTTGCCCTGCCCGGTTCCTCCAGCAGCCCCGTGGCAGAGCTGCGTGCCTGCCAGCAGTGCTGGCAGCCCATCCACCAGGCGTTATTCCTGCTCCATTTCGTGCTCTCGGTCTCTTGGCCTAGATCTGGGTTGGGAAAGGTGAAAGAATAAGCCTGTCACATGAAATGGGCCAGGATCTTCTAACTCTGGGAACCTGCCTTAGTTCTACCTTTCCTTGAAAACATCTCCGTGTGGAGTGCAAGGTGCCACTCCGCTTTAATGTCAACCATTTCAAAATGCAATTTCCCTTCCTCACTGCTTATGCAATAACACAGTGAGGCTGTCACCCTCCTGTAATGCCTGTACAAGGAAGGAAGCAGAGAGGAGGGTAACACTGTGTATGCAAGCGGAGAACAGGCAGAAAGACCTCCTACCTGGAAGTCTTGCCCTTTGATGATATATCTTCATTTCTCACTGGGAAGAAAACTCAGGAAGTTCACTTGGAGTCAGTATATTTTTAGTGCTCATTTGTGACAGAATAAAAACCGATCTACTTCGATGCCAAGTCTTTCTGCACAGTACGTTCTGCTGAGAGATATCCTCTTTCCGTGCTTCAAATGTAGGTTTATTTGAGGTTTATGTTATCAGGGCTGCTTCTGAAAATGTTAATTCCGGATGAGAACACCCACACTCGTTCTCCTTCTTAAAAAAGGTGGACACAGCTTATGGGTGAGTGGAGAGGGAAGTGTACTCACCAGAGAGAGGACAGGCTGCGTGGCCAGGGGGACAGAAGGGCAGGACCCAGCGAGGCCAGCCCTGACTGGGTTAAATTGCTTTTATCTCGCTCCTTGAGAGCATGAGCCATGGTAGATGATGGGACTGAGGGAATGAAATAGCAGAAGTGGAGTTGGGGAGAGGAGAGACAGATGCTGAGGGTGGACATCTAAGTGGAGTGCTGCTGACCGATGGTGCTTGTGGAGGATGGGTCTGTCCAAGCCGCACCATGCCACTTGACCGGAGGCATTCTGTTCCCTAGTGTAAGCATTACCAGGGCAACTTGGCAGCCCACGGCCGCTTTCTCCCACTGGCATTCCCTCCTGCACCTCACAGAGGAGCAGCACAGGCTCCTGAAAGAGATGGCATGGTCCGTGCCAACAGATACCGCAGATGGGATGTTGGAAAGGTGCGTGAGGGAACAAGCTTTGGGAGAATCAGTATGGTGGCTGTGCTTGAGGACCTGGCCTGTGGGTTGGTTTAGTTCCGTGTTAAACAAAGGATGTGTCAATAGCCCAGTTGTAAGTTGACATTGCTGTCATCGTCCCCTCCCAAATGACAGTGAGGATGAGATTTCAAACAAATTCACTATAAGCAAGTTGTGTCCCACTCTACGTATGGAGTCCAAATATTCCTGCCAGCTTTTATAAAATTTATTTTTCTACCTAGTAATTTGGAGTGCAATTTGATGTCTCCCTCTTTTCATGAGTTATATATCCATTCTGAAGAGAGATTCTGCCATAGGATGAGTATCTGATTTACTGTCTGTCAGCAGAGACAGGTTAAGAAAAAATTACAAAATCAAATTACTTTTCTTCCCCAAGGCTAAATGTTAAGTTCCTCCTTCCTTCTCATCTTCATTTTTTTCTTTACTACTAGATATTCTCGAGGATAGAGTTCTTAACTGCTTCTGGCATGGTCTTAGTTAATGAAAGTGCCCTGAAGCCATGAAGATTTGTAGGACAAGCAAAGAGCTGTTGCTGCTTACATCTGTCAATAAAAATAATAAAAGAAATACAGCTTTTCTGTAGAAGAAACGTTTTTGTCTTATGCTGACATGGTAGCAGCCTGTCTGCAATAAGAAGTGCTAGAATAGAAGGACATGGAAAGTTTTTAATTAAGCGCTGAAGTGAGTGTGAAACCCAGAGTTGTGGCAATTCTTATTAGCAGATGTTGTAATATTAATGCAAGTCTGCGGTTTCTTCCCTTTTAAGTATGGTAGCTGCATTTCAAAGAACTGGCTGCAGCAAACTCAGCAAAAGATGTACACCTAAAATTCTGGCAAGCAGAGAGAGCGTACATCCCTTTTTGTAGCAGAAGCAAAGTACTAGCTGCGCTGACCACAGCATTGCTGCTGGGAACCTCCCTCCCAGAGCCGAACCATCTCACTCGCTTCAGTGGAAGTGATGAGCCCAGGGAATTTCTCCAAACCAGTCCCTTTTATGTGTGCTGCAAGTGATTCAGGGAAAGGGTTGTCAGAACTAATTGCATTGCTGTTCGGGCAGCCTCTGCTGGTGCTAAAAGACTCTGGCAATGCAAATATTTTAGATGTCTAGACAGATAAGCTAGCGGGAGTGGTTGACGACTGAGGAGCACTGTTCCTCTGAAGCCCCCTGTTCCAGGTGGAAATGGAGGTCCAAAATAGTTTCTGCAGTGGCTCTGAAATACTGAAAGGACAGTGATTTATCTGAACCTAAAAGGAAGGGAGAAAAGCTGGCGACAGCTGAGTTTGCAAAGAAGATAGGCTGTAGAGGAGGTTGTCCGTGACAAATCCTCACGGTAGGAAGTCTTAAATAGATATTGCTGTTGGGGTCTCTGTTTCCATTTTCTTGCCCCTCTCATTTCCCAGGGAGAGGAGGTGGGAAGGGGGGAAATGGTGATGTTGATGCTTAGTTTCATGTCCCTGTGAGTCAGGGTGCAGCAGCTGCAGCAGCCAGGCAGCCGAGGCATTGCCATGGTTGGGTCTGCAAGACTCTCCCCTGCTGTGTTCAGATGCCCACTGCTGAGTGTGTCTTTCTTCCTTTGTGCAGTTTTCTGCCGTGTGTATATAACAGAGCACTCGTACGTCAGCGTGAAAGCTCAAGTATCCTCTTCAGCTCAGGAGATACTGAAGATTGTAGCAGAAAAGATCCAGTACCCGGAGGAGGAGTTGGCGCTGGTGACAGTCACGTTCTCTGGTGGTAAATAACTGCCCTTCATCTGATTACTTACCTTTTAGTGCATCACGTAAGGGAGGGCTGACACTTTGTGGTGCAAGGATACAGCTGTTCCTGTGCTGGCCCACAGCTGGATGACCATGGAACAATGAGGAGCTGTTTCCCAGAGAGTCGTTTCCATGACAACAGCTCGTTCTTGGGTACCAGCGGATACGGCATCTCCTCGCTGGAAAGGGAGTGCAAAGGACTCTGTATTTCTTTCCCCACAGATAAATCTCCTACATTCACATTTAAATTAATTTGGAAGGCGATGAGGCATGGTTTGCTTTAAAAATATAGAAGGGAATAACAAATACTATATGTGTGGCTGTTTCCTCGTTTATGGCATGGGTAATGAATATTCTCCAGCAGAAAGGAGGGTGACGTATATTTGCACAGTTGAGGTACTGAGAGCAATGTAAGCAATATTTTGTAAGCAGTCTTGCTTACAACTGGCATTTTTTACCCATTATTTTAGTGTTTCTCATTGAACAGAAGTGGTCTTTTTTTAAGGAAGATGGGAGTGATCATGGGCTGATATTAGGGACCAGCCAAACCCCCGAGATTTTCTGTGGTGTCTGGCAGGTCTCAAGCTCTTTGGTCAGATTGTTTTGCTCATTGTGGTGACTTGGCTCTTAAGGAATACAAAGGAAGCAATTTAACTAGGCGTGTAGAAATGCAAAGCTGGATCTACAAACAGGGGCTGAGAACGTAGAATATCTTGGCCATATTCTCAGAAAACATGAGTTGGCGTCGATCCCCTGGGACAAAGGATGCACCCTTAGACATATAGCACTCGTTGCTACTTCTCTTGCAGTCTAGTTAAATGAAATAGACACAAATGCTGCCTTGTTCTGTTTGTTTATTTATTTGATTCAGAAGTGGGAGGTCACATTTTTCTCCTCCACACCAAACTCAATTAAATGACCATTTTTTTGCAGGGCACCGGTGTGGGTGGCAGGGAGATGGTGCCCTGCTCTAGCTATTGGTAGCCTGGGCACGGAGCAGCCACATGGGAGCATGACACGAAGGTGTCCTCCTGGCCTACATCATTTGCAGGAATACCCTTTTTACCCTTGTGTGTGCCCAAATTCTCCTCCAGTGCATTTTACAGCACTGCAAAATCACTGTGTTACTGTTGTTTTTCGGGTCTTGTGCTCCCGTTCAAGAGCAGGGCGAGGGGCAAGTTTTGCTCTGATAGCAATAAATCTGGTGCTAACTGCCTACTTAGCTAAAGAAAACCAGCAATTCATAAATAATGAAACACACTATTATCTTTGGGCCACAGTGGTACCCAAGAAAGTCACAGAACAGAAGTGGTTGCAACTTGGCGGTTCAATGGGAAACAATAATTTAAATGCGGGTACAACAGGACTGTCATTTGTACACGACCAGTGTAACCCCTAGAATGTTCAGTCACGTTGCCTGAATTAATTGGAGATACAATTTCAGTATCTTTGTTCTTATGCATTGCCACTCCTGTGCCGTGAGCAATAAACATCAGTCTGCCATGCTTACTTTTTTTTTTACTTTTTTTTTTTCTTTGCTGCTTGGTTGACTCAGAGCTCTTGTCTGCCGTCCACTTGGAGGGCAACAGCATGAGACGTTGGGGAACGTGTTTTTATTGATGAACAAACAAGCTCTTTTTATTCAAAATTACCTTGAAAAAACATACTGGTAGTTCAGCATAACTGTATCTGGTGTCAGTGTGAGCGTGGGTAAGAGTGGAAACGGTCTGAAATGGTGTTTGGCGCTCAGACTCCTCCTCGTCCTACTCCTCCCTCATGGGCAATGAAAAGTCCAAGGTAGCTGTCAACATGCTTGTAGTGCTTTTGGGTCTACATTAATGCAGTCACTGTAATAAAATGTCACGTGTCAGGTCTCCAGAAGATTACTGGGAGCTGCAGGAAGAGGCAGTTTTTTAGCTGTGTTCTGGGTTTTGCTTTGTTTTTCCTCACACCTTTCTCTGGTGCATCCAAGATTGCCCAGAGCCGAACCAGTATGCTGGAGTGGAGGAAAAAAAAAGCGGTGTCCCCCGCTCTTTTACTTTGATGTTTGCTAAATGAATTACTCTAGATCTAGAGGAATTTCTGTAAATACCAGACTATAAAGGACTCTTCAGCTCTGCTCCATGGGGTGAATTTTGTGGCACCAGGATCCTTCAAACTTCTTATCCTGTGGAATGGCTGTGGCTGCTAATGACTTCTCCACCCCTGCTCTTGTCTGCCTGTGACATGTTAACAGCTCGGTCTCTGGAGACCGAGACACTTTGCTTTAACATTTGCAGTAGATAACACTGGGTTGAAATGAAGTGTTCTGTACTGCGTAGGAGGTTAGACTAGATGATTTAAGTGTTTCTTCCTGTTTTATCCTATGTGAAGTCCAGGTTGAAAGCAGGTGCTGGAAGTGTTTGTGCTCTAGTCCAGCATCAGAGACATCTTGCCTGTGTCATGCCCGGGTAGTATGGAGATGATGGTCCCTGTAGGGACTGGATTTGATGCTTAGTCACATTCTAAGAAGTTAATGTGGCTTTACAAATACATGTGTAATGTTTTTCTCATATTTATATACATCTTTTACTCCTTTTCTGAAGCTTTTGTGTTTTGTTGTCTGTTTTTACAGAAAAACATGAACTACAACCAAATGACTTGGCTATCTCGAAGTCTTTCGAGTCATCCGGTCGTATGTTTGTCTACCGAAAAGATCCGTCTGATTCTTTGGTAAGGATCTGTATGGTATACTTCCCGTTTTTGATTTGTTTGACTCCCAATCAAGAACTTAATATTCCTCTCAGAGGACTTTTTCAATGCAGAATTTATATTTTGCTTCCTTAATAAAGCTTACTGAGCTGCTCTATACCTGAAAAAAAATACCTTGCATTAACAGCAGTTATTTGACTGAACAGTAATGGAATTCGTTCATCAATTTCAAATAGACCAAAGCTTCTGTACAGCTTAAACCTTTCAATCTACATCAGCCTGGAAAAGCTGACTTGTGCTTATAGAGGGCTGGATGGGATGAGGATTATCCAGGGCCTGTGTGGCTTTGGTTTTCTTTTTTCCCTCCTTGTGCCTCAGTAGCACCTAAAGTGTCTGGTACATAATCGTGCAAGGTGATGGACAAACTCCATGGAATTAATACATGTAGAAATAGATGTCGTGTGGGTTCTGCCAAAATTACTGGGCATCACCATGACCCCAGTGTTGTGGCAGCCACCTGGCCAGTCTGTGGCTGGCCTATATCACTGGTGGTATGTCCTTTCCCCTTCTTTCTGTCTGTCTGTCTCTCCATCCTCTCGCTGGTGCTGGGGAGAGGAGCAGGTCAAAGGGCAGTGGGTCTCTCTCATTCCCTGTCCTCAGAACCAGGATTGCAAACTCAGAAACCAGGATTGCAAACTCTCTCCCGCCATGATTTCCCAAAACTGCAGTGAGGCAGAAACAGTCAGATGCTCAAAGAACTACTCTTCCAGTAGTTTTCTGTGAATTATGCAGATGTTTCGAGGAAAGCTCAGGGACGGTATCGCAACTGACTTTTACGTGTTGTCAGTACCGCTAGGATTTTCGCGTTCATCCTAGGGATGAGAAATGTCTATTTACATTTTGTTGGATCAATGTGCCCCGAAGAGCTGACACGCCGCTATCATTGTAATCTGTCATCCCCATTATCTCCAGCGTTCTAGCCACCTCTAAAAATGCGAATATTAAGGGAAGGTTTCCAGTGCAGACAGGTGACAGCCAATCTAGTTTCATTAGTTACATAATAAAAATCACAAAACTTGCTGTAACTGTCAGAAATATAGCACCAAAGCAATGGCTTAACTGATAAGAATAATCTTTCATCTTGGCAGATGGTTCATACGCCAAGTTTCAACCTGATGAGGTAAAAAAACCCAAGAGAAATGCAAACCTCTGAAAATCCGAGCTAATAATGGAAATGTCAAGTGACCCTTAACACCAGCAGTACCAGAGTAATACACTAAGTAACTTTTATGAATCAGGACCCACTGTTTTACTGTATGGTGATTACATTTGGAGTAGATTAATCATAAAGTGTATGGATTTATGCTGTTCATAAAGGTGGATTGGTGGGCAAGTAGTGTGTGTTTATTCTAAATCTAGTGTGTTTGCAGAATGATTCCTTTATCTTATAATACAAAAATTTCCTGGTGTCTTAATTCAGATTTTATTTTCTGATGTTTTCAGGGATTTTATTTTCATTATGCTGTCTGCTTAGTCAGTGTTTATATTCAAGGTTTAGAGAAAGAGAGAGAGAGGGAAAAGGCCTAATCCAATAGGAAATCATTGATCCTATTGACCCATTTCCTGTTTCAAGCTATTAATTAAATAGGCTATAACTCCTTGATTTTGATTAGTGGGAGGAAAAAGCCCTCAGAGTGCACTTACAGAAGATTGCTTACTCAGCCCTGTTTGGTACCTTGGTCCAGTAGCTGTTTCATTGCTTTTTTTTTTTGCTCTTGGCTATCGATTTAGAACCCATTTGCTGAAAATGAGGAATTGCAGCAAAGGTCTGTGAGAATTTTGGGAATCAACACTTGGGATCTGGCCTTAGAACTAACAAACTTTGACTGGAGCCTCTTCAATGCAATTCATGAGGTAAGAAGCGTCGCGTCCACCCTTCGTGCAGCATTCTGCCATTAACAATGCATTTTGGAGCATCAGTATTCCTTGATGCTCAGTTCACTGTCACGACAGCATGATTTGGCAGCTCACAGTAGTGATGGCATTGAATCAGGTTCAAGAGATGTGTTGCAGTCGTTGATACTGAAAAGAAATTGTCAAGGGTTTGTAACTTCCCTGTGCTGGGGCATTTCCTATGTTCCCTGTATACCTGGTGGGGTTTATTGAGAATTGCCTCAAGAGGGTGGGAGAGCATGATTATTCTCTAAAAACTGTCTGTGTGAATATGTTTTATATGCAAATTGTCCTTTGCACCCCACAATGTTCCGGTAAATACAGGACTCCACGAATAGTGGCCTTGATATCACTTGATAACCACAAAAGAATTCACGATTTCAGCGATTTAGATGGTCACATTACAGTTCTTGTTAGGCTTCAGAGAGATAAAAAATACTGAGCAAGCTTTATAAAATGGGATAATGGCCCACTTCAGTGCCCATTGGGTTGTTTCACTGACTTTGATAGGTTCTGGTATGAGCTGCTGAGTAAAATAACAGTTAACAGTACAAAATGTCACTTGAAAATATCATTCACTGAAAAGCATGTTGGTTTTCTGAAAAGAATGAGTGGGAAATTTCCTTGCTTCTCATCAAATGCTTCCCTTGATCTTTCATTTCAGGTTCTTTTATTCAGTTTAGACACTTTAGAGCTGGTCAAGTTTGGGGTTTTTTGCACAGAAATCAAGACCCACATCTCTGTGGATGAAAACTTGGCTATTTTTAGGAAGAAGTGTGAATGGGAATTTTTCAGACTCTGCAATGCTCTGATATGGTTGCTTTTTCATACTGGAACAGAAGTGATGAAATACAGAAAGAGACAGATTGTTTATGTCCTATGACCTGGCTGTAGCCAGAAGTGGAATTGCAGGAAACCTAACAAGAAAAGCATGTCTTGTGGGACTTCAGTCCACCTGCCCGCTATAAGCCTCTAGACTTTGCTAAGCCAAACCTGGACCCTGAATCATTTTGGCTCATGAATAATGACAAAATAACTATTTGTAACCAGGCCTTGTTTCAAAAACATACTTCTAGATGATTTATAATTCATTTACATTTAAATTGTTTTTATATCGCTAATAATGCTGTCAATGTCTTCCAGCAAGAGCTGATATACTTCACGTTCAGCAGACAGGGCAGTGCTGAAAACACTGAGAATCTCAGTCTTCTGCTTCAAAGATGCAACGAGGTCCAGCTTTGGGTTGCCACCGAGATACTTCTCTGCAGCCAGCTCTGCAAACGTGTACAGCTAGTCAAAAAGTTCATCAAGATTGCTGCCCAGTAAGTTACCGAAGTTGCAACAAAAATCCTTGAATTCACATGCTTTATTTGGTGAGAAGTAGGTGCAAAGGCAAAGAAAGAAAACTAATTTGTCATCCTGTGTTTTAATAGCGTAGTAAGCTTACCTAGATAAAACAGTCCTTAAGTAACAACAGCGAACACTGGCCAAAACTAGACGTGGGACACTATGTGCTGCTCAAGTCTCCCCCAGCAACTTAGCATCAGCTGCCAAATCCCTGATGGTGCAGAGATACATCCTTTGCAGAGGCATCCTGAGGACTGTTTTACAGAACTATTTGAGCAGCAACACGGTTATTCATCAAAGACTACGCAGAAATCAGAAAACTGTTATAATCTTGAAAGTCTTACCTCCAGAGAAGAAACTAGGTGCAGTAAGCTATTGCCCCATGTAATCCTCTCTGGAGCACTGTTTTATTTATTTGATAGGTTTGGAGGCAGAGGGTGTTCTTCACTAATGAGACTTGACCGTCTGTTCTTGCACTTATTACTAAATAGTGCTGGCATTTATTCTGTGCCTTGGAACAGAGTGCAAATATATACTAGGCACAGAATTCTTTCCTCTGTAATCACTTTTATTTTAGTAACCGAGGAAATGGAGCAATTTAAATATGTGTAACCATTCTCCTCGCCTCTCTCTCCACTTGTTGGTCTTCTGCAATATTTGAATATGCATGTTCATGGAAAATGCATAATTTGTTCCCTTCATCGACTGGGTTGATTTAATTTGCAAGGCACTTAGATAGAAAGGACTGTTCTCGGCTGAAGCAGTGCCTTTGGTGAAATGAATTCTTCCGAAAAAAAATCTAGTGTAACTCATAAATGCGATTTGATTTAGTTTGCAAGTTGTATGGTATCCAGTAATATGTTCATTTTCTGTGGTATCAATGGCCTAGTTTGGTCCAATTATGTCAAAAATGGTTGATCTGTGTGCTTTGTTTGCACCACAGTAGCATTAATTTGCATTCCAGGAAAAGTTTCATCTGTCCCACATGAATAGGGATGTATTCGTCACCAGGCTAAAATGTTGCTCTGTTTGAATTAATTCCATCTCTGTTGAAAAGCCAAAGTTGTGGAGACTAAACACGGTTGTCACTAAACAGTAGACAGGCTCTCCCTGTGCGCTGTGGAAACACCCGTCGTCATAGCGTGTAGATGGTGAAACAGTGGATACACAAATAAGTGAACGTCTCGCTTACTCAGGATCTTTTTTTTTTTAATCAGAAAAGCAGCTTTCTAAAAGATGTCATTGTCATATCTCATCAATTCTGGAAGAGCTGATGAAAGAGGAAAATCAGGGTGGAAGGACGGTGCGCTAAGCACTGGACACTGACCATGAGGCACAAGCCATGCAGCCCTGATGTTTTGTCTATGACTAAGGCAGAGAGATAGGGAGCTGTGAGCAGCTCTGGCTGCTCTCCTTTCTCTGCTCCCAGATTCGGCCAGGAATCTGTGTCTTTTGACTGTCAGCTTGTTGGCAAAGCACTAGGACTAAGATCTCATGTTCAGCGTTTGTGTACTGCACTGTTGAAGGAACACCTGAAGAAGATGGGAAGCTTTTACACAAGTGTGTCAACACATAAAAGGGAGACAAGAGGGTTTGAAACACAGATACCTACGCTTCTGTTGGTGAGCTAGTCTAAAATAGAAAACAAGTGATTTGGTAGAGAAAATGAGTTGGCATGTTGTTAGAAATGAACCATGCTGAGGAGTTAGAGAAACTGGTCAACATCGGGTTAGAATAAATGGGTTACAACAGCAGCTTTCTTGCTTCCCAAGCAGTGGCTGACTGTAAAAGGTGTCCCTTCTCTGGACAGTTCTTTGTGAGAAATGGGCCCATCCACAGACTGCTTATCCAGGCTGTGCTGGACACCTTTCTTGTTTTGGAACGAGTTACCTTTGGGAGCTGCCTGACTTTGCTGATGAAAGGAGTCTAAGCAGCAAAGTTAGGTTTCACTTTAAGGCAGCTGAAGTGAGAAATATACCATCTCAAGATAGCACACAGCGATGAGTGCGAGCTTTGTAAAACTTGTAACAAGTGCTGGCGAGTTTCCAGTCTAAGGCCTTGGCATGTACTTCTCCCTGATGGTGAATCCCAGTGCAGGCAGTGGATTCATGCGTTCTTAAAATTATCTTGAAAGAGGATCCTCATCTCGCACACATACATGCACATGTGTGTTTATAGTGGTCTTAAAGAATCTGCAAGAGAAAGGGAAATCTTTTCACTTGCAAAGGACTCGATATTTTAGGATTTCAAATTTCCTAATGGACTAGAAGTAAGCAGGATCTGATTGTAGGTAGTAAAATGCCCAAGAATAGAGGTGTCAAGCAAATTCTGTAGGGATCTGTATTGGAACCAGAGCTAACTGCAACTGATTTATAGGAATATGTAAATTGAACATTAATCAGATTTTCAGACAATAAAAATGATGAGGGATTGCAAATGCGTTGGAGGATAGGAAAAAAAAAAGAATGGTCTAAGGAGTCTAGTGGCATGTGCAAACAACAGTAGGATAAGATTTAATTTAGATAGATGCAAAGTAATTCAGCTGGGGAATACTATTACTGAGCTGAAGAAATAAATGTATGATTGTAAAGAACAGTACTGTGACAGAGGTCCTTGGGTGATAATAGATGACAAATTAAAGGCAAGGACAAAGTGTGATGCTCTTCCAAATAAATAATTTGATATTTGTTTTATGCCTGCATAGGAGAAAGGTGTAAGAACTTAAGAGCCAGACCAATAATTATGTTTCTCCTTCCCTCCCCGCTGTCTCACTACATCTCCTTAGTAAAAAAGAGACATGGGAGAGAAAAGTTAAAATAAATTACAAATAATTCAATGAAGGATAATAACAATATGGAAAAGTAGATTGCAGGCTGTGGCCACAAAGAGAAATTGAAGGAGCCAGTGGCGTACAATTTACAGAAGAGATGAAGGGGATGAATATATTTATAATACAACAGAATAGAGGTCAAGGAATTATTCTGTATGGTAAAGGACAGCTGAGAGTAACTTGAACACTGAAAAGGGAAAATTACTTTTGACAGCAAAGGGAAAAAAATAACCTGCCAACAACAGGGTTGATGAGACAGTGGAACGTTTGCTAAAAAACTTCTTAGATACCCCATCACCTAGACTGCAGGTGGCCATGAGAGGACATTTAATGAGTTCATTATGTGGAAGTTGATTGTATGTTAGTGCTGAGAGTTGAAATGGGACTCAGTAACCTAGGATACCTGTACATTCCATTTATCTCTGATTCTGAGTACAAAAAATCAGAATACAGCATTCATATTTTTATTCTACAGCTGTAAAGCCCAAAGAAATCTGAATTCATTCTTTGCTATTGTTATGGGTCTCAACACTGCATCTGTCAGCCGGCTGTCTCAGACGTGGGAGGTAAGACGCATCTCTATCTTTTAGACCCTGTCGAAACCATTTCTCACAAAGATTGTATACTAGTTTCTTTCTAATTACTGGGTTTTCGTGCTGAAATCAAACATGAAGTGGGTGTCAGTAGAGAAACTTGTCTGTGACCTGAAACTTTAGATATACAGCTATTCAAATAAAACTAAATATGTCCTTCCAGAGCTTTTAAATAAGAACAAAGCAAGGAGATCTTACCTTCTAAAAAAAAAAAAAGTCAGGTAAATTATCCTAGCATTTTAAGTAGATCTCAGAATAGGAAGTCTTATAAAGGTGGCTCCAAACAAGCAATACCTTATTATGGAATAATTTCGTTTAAAAAAACCCAACAAAGTAGAAATAAACTCTCTTTAATTCTCCTTTATCATCTCGTTTGCAGCTTCTCCTCTTGAAAACAGAGTTAGGAAATGGGCCATGAATAAGGAGCATAGTGGAGAACAGAGATTATCTGCTAAAGGAGCTACCAGTTGCTAGACAGGGCATGGGATGTTTAGAGGAGGGTCCCACTGGGATCTGTGTTTACGTTGTGGAATTTTTTTTCCGTCCAAGTAAACTATTAAGTGGTGGTATCTGCAAGTTTGCTATATCTGCTGGTGAACCAAAACTTGGGGAAGGAGTAATTTAAGTGTGATGGGGTGAAGCTTTACCCTTCCCCCACACCCCCAACACTATAAGCGGGCAGTACTCAAAAAACACCAGGCAGGCAGTAGTCAAAAAATACCAATCTCTAATACAAAGTGAGAGAGAACGGCTGTGGTCTGCCTTGGAGGTACTCTTGAGAACCAACAGCTGAAACCAAACGGCCATCAGGGACTTACAAACCTATCTAATGCTCTCCAGAGCAAAGTCTTCCCCCTTAGCTGAAATCATGCGTATGGAAACATCACTGAGTGTGTCAGTGTCATTTGCCCTTGCCTGCTTTTATGGGTTGCCTTCACCCCATTTCTCTGGGCTTTGGTAGGAGAGTGGAGGGCGCTCAGTATTGTATCAAAGGCCCCCGGGGGCAATGGTGTAGATCTCTCCTGCGCGGAAACACACAGAACTCTGCTGTGTGGTGAGACCTCTGGAGATCATGCGCTGCTGATGGACTTCTCTCAGGAAGAGGAGAATATATTGCTTGTCGGAACAAGGAGTGCATCTGCATACATATCGTTGTAAATATGTCACGTTTCTGTGTGTAAAATATTTATGAAATCACATGCATATTTTTTTTAATGTGTAAAACTTTACTGCACTGGAAATTTCAAAAGCAGAAGGTTATTTGCATTAGTAATGTGACTTCTAGAAGAAGTAGAGCAATGTTTATAAATTAATTATAATTACTTACACATGTAAATGAAACCACCTAAATTTAAGCAACCATTTAGACACTGAATTATATTGGCTCTGCGCTTGAATTCTTAAACAAGTAGTATGTTCCCAAGCATATTCTTCTACTTTTTTTCTACAGTATGCAGTGTTTTAATGAGCCTCGCTTTCCCTGATTGAAGATACTAAAAAATATGCAATTGCAATTCCATATTCAGTTATTTTAGCAGTTTAATCATGCAGCACATCCACTTAATTGTTCTAAATCTCTTTTCTCTTGATAGTATCACTGTGGCTGTCAGGGTCTAAGGACAAAGACAAGACAGGGTTTGTACTAAAAGGGGGTATCTTTTACTAGACTAACTAGTATGGTTGGAAAAAATAGACAGGCTTTAAGGTCCACACACCGTTCTTCAAGTGTGAAATACCAGCAGCAAAATTCAAACTGTGGAACGATTGCTTTGAGTGTAATGAGGTGAATCCATTAAAGCATCTTAGAGATAAAGGAAGCGGATGCTTGCGGAGCAGAGCAGTGTTAGCATGTGGGCCAAGAAGGTAGTTTGTGCCTGAGCTCCCTTGGAAAGTGCTTTGTGCACCTCCCTGTGGGATTAGGATGAGATGCCAGAGATGGAGTAATTGTTTCTTAAGGAAGAAGCTCTTTCGGGGTATCAAACAGCAGTGAGCATGATGCCTGTTAATTTCTAGAACCCATGTTTTAGGGGAAGATTGATTATAACAAGTGAGTTAACCTGGATGTGATCACATACCTGAATTCTCAGCCTGTGTTACCGCTTCTAACTTGATACGCATATTAAGGAAAATGCAGCAGACGTGGAAGCTGGGGAAGAAAATAAAACCAGCTGCTAACAAGCAGTTTTCATAAAAGAAGGATGGAGGTCCCCAAGGTGAGGCTGCAGGGTCTGGTGCCTCACTGGCATCGCACTGAACATGGTCTGTAATTAGGGCCCTTGGAGCTGAGGAGCGGAGGTTAACTGCCTGTTGGCACTTCCAGCAGACGCTTCACCCACGGCAGTCTCAGGGAAAGAAATGCCTCAGCATTTTTCTGCTTAAATCAACTTTTTTTTTTTTTTTTCTCTCCTGTGTTTTCCTCACTTCAGAAAATTCCTGGGAAGTTCAAGAAACTTTTCACTGAACTTGAAAGCTTGACGGTAAGTACAGTGTTGACAGCAGAATGTCATCGCTTGTCTCTACCTGCCTTCCTTCTTCCTAATTTATGTGGGGAGGCTGCCTGTCATTGTCTGGAGCTCAAACCTGTCATGTCAGATCCGTGATTTGCCAAAGGCCATGTAGCCCTCCGGAGCTCAGAGGTGGTCTCCAAACACGAAAAGGAACAGGGCTGTGTTCTTGACAGCTGGAGGAAGGGCAGAGAGAGGCGAATGTGGTGTGGGTTCCTCAGCATCAGCGTGGAAGCTGTTCCTTTGCTCTGGTGGTTAATCAGCCTTTATCCAAAGCAACGTGCTGCTGATCAGGAGAAAAGGAGGACAGCTGAAGTTTGGGGAAAAAAAAAAAAAAAAAAAAATCCGAGGCTAAGGGTCTTTTGTCACCATTATCAAAGCTGAATAAACAAGTGTTTCCTTTGGCTGTCGTGGAAGTGGGTGCGTGGCGAGATCACTGCCTGGTGCAGCGAACATGAGATCCAGCCTTTAAGGGCTGTCACGCTTCTGTGCTTAGAGTCCTTTATAGATTAATGTGTTTTCAAGATTGTGGTGAGCTGGTGTACAAAAATGTTAATGTTTATGTGGGAAATTGAGATGACTCTTTGAATTAGTTAAACAACACCACTGAAACCTACTTTCTTATTTTCTTTGAACATTTCCAATATGCTTCGTTGATCTGAGAGCAGGTTTTGTTGAATTTTTTTTTTTTTTTGGGTCATTGCTGTTTGGTGTTGGTTTGTTGTTTTGTTTTTTTTTAAGAAGAAATTAATCAGCAATATCTGGGATACATTTTGTGCTAGATAGTAAGCTGAAGAGATTTTGCTAATAGAAATTTGCGGGGAAATTACAGGGCAGTCCCAGTGAATCTGTTCTGCCTCTTACTCCCATGTTAGCACCGCTTCATCTAGGGGAACGTAATTGCTTTTGTTCCTTTCACTGTTTACGTTTCCTGTTCAGTTTAGTAAGTCACCAAGCTTAGAAAACCTTTATCTACTTCGTTTCCCAAAGAAACCTTTTGCATCTAAATCATGTTCAGATCATAAGCCCATAATGGATTTCGAATTGCTCTTTTTATAGCCTATTGATTTTTCTCTCTATTACCCACATGGTTTTGTAGGACCCTTCTCTGAATCACAAAGCTTACAGAGATGCATTCAAGAAAATGAAATCTCCGAAAATCCCCTTCATGCCCTTACTTCTGAAAGGTAACGTTAAAGCTTGGCTGCTCTTTGTTTTGATTAATTAAAACAAGTGTAAGGTGATTTTTTCCTTCAGGTGGCCTTACAATAAGTATGGGGCAGGTGTAGTGGTATCTACAGGTGGCACTTGGTCTCCATAATAAAGAGCTGCCTTTTAAGACAGGGCGAAGATGGCCATTTTCACGCAGGTTTTGAAACTTCAGTCCCTTCCCGTCAGGTGTGGATAGAGCAGTGTTACCATTGCTTTGGCCACATCCTCTTCAGGGGAGAAGCGAGGCCTTGCAAGCTCCTGCGCGGGACCTTGGCCATGCTGCTGCTCTGAGGTGCCTGTCCTGAGATGCTTGCCCTGCCTCGCCGGGGTGAACCTGCTTGGTGTCACCCTGAAGGCAAAACCTGCCCTATCTGTCCTGAGGAGAAGGGATTTTCAAGTCTCTTATAGGTCTGAAAGAGAGAAAAGTCTTACTATTAAATGAATTATTTTTAAAAAATCTATTAAAGTAAAATATTACTACTTGCTTAACACAGTGAGCTGGGCAGCTAATTAAGTAGCAGGTATTTCAAATATTCCATTGTCCTGGAGTCGTTAATTATTAATTGCCTGGTCTTTGAACATGGCAAATTCATTTGATTATTCCTGTATTCCCAAAGTGTTCTCTTTAGGCTGTTTGTTCCAACCTGCTGCTGCTGCGAGTTTAAAATGTTTGAAGACAGTTCTCCGGATCAGTCGGTGACAGTTTGGGAGCCATCAGGCACTTCCCCTCTTTGCACACATCAAAGGAGTTTGCATTAATTCAGATGGATACAATTATCAAGACTTCAAAATCAGTATTTTTTAAGTGTTCTGCAGTACGTCTTGCCTGCAAACAAAGGCAGCAAACATAAACAAGTAACTTACAGCAGTGATGTTTGTCAGTGCTGCAATACAGTGTATAAGGGCATGTACATAAGCAGCATTCATGTCTCTCAAATGTATTGGAGATAGCAAGGAGACTTTGAAAATTAGTACAGTAATTCCCTTCAGCATAGTGATCGATGAGGAGATGTTGCCAAGGTTGGTAATTCCCAAAGTATTGCACAGTACGTAGGACTTTATTCCACGTCAAACATGTTTTTTATTAACGTTATTTCCTAGACCAATAAAATCAGGATGGATAACACAGAAATCATTAGTAACTCAACAGAATACTGTGTTTCAGCACAAGTGGAACGAAAGTGGTTTCAAGAAAAAAATGAAAATAATTAATAATATTTCTTTAAGTATGAAAAATAACTTTAGTGTGTCCTTTTAAAGTTAATTAAATTTAAACGCAGAGCTCTCTTACAGCACACAGACACAGCTTTTGAAAATCAGGCAGATTTTTCAAATGTGTAATAAAATACTGTGATGTACCCTTACAACCTAGCTCAGATGCAATTTTCTGCTCCGCTGAATTTATCTAGACTCTTAGTTGTTGGCCGCAAAGCAAATTTCTGTTCCTTCCACCCTCGGAGATACACGCATTGCTGTCATTGACTTAAGCTGTGTGGAAATTTCTGCTTCCAGCAGAAGTTCTTCATTAGACACGACCCACAGTTTTTAGCTGCATTGATACAGAGACAAGTAGTGCTGGTGTCCTGAAGCCGTGTCCTTTCCCTGGGTGCCCCAAAGCAGCCCAGCAGAGAAGGTGTAGAGTGTCCTGCTGCCTCCTTTCCCCCTCATTTTTAGGATCCTGCCCAGGGGCAGGGAGGTGCTGGAGGCATCCCCAGTGTGTGCCGTGCTTGCCCCGCTTGCTCAGAAGTGCCGGATGGACCTGCTGTGCCCGGGCTGGTGTCCTGCCTGCCCCAGGCAGACCCCAGCCGCCCCGGGGGGCACGGGAGCTCTCTCCCCATCACCCCTCATGCACACCTCTGCCTAATGAGTCCCAGCCGCCGGTTTCCACCAGCCTATGAACCCATTAACATTTCCATTCTAGCAATTACAAAATGCCCCTCGGGCACAGAGCGAGGCTTTGAAATTAAGGATATAAATCAGGTTTTGGGGGAGTGTGAAGGCGATGGGGGGGGTGACAAAGCAGCCCCAGCATCAGTTGCAGGTTCCCAATCCTAAAATCCCCTGAAACTAGGTGTACCAAGTGGGCATCAGAGGGAGTCCTAGAGCTGAGCACAGGAGGAATGCTGAGATGCACAGTTAGACTGGTGGGGTGGAGGTTGGCACCTCTGCTGAGAGGGAGATGGTGCCCTTTAACTGGCAGAATCTGCTGTGGCTTTTAAGAAGTAATGGCTTTGGGGTGCTGTCTCATTATAAGAGTGCTGCCTTCTGGTACTCCTGGGTACCCGCACATCCAGAAGAGAGCTGATAGAGGGGGCACGGTGGTGGTGCTTCTGCTAGTTATTTTCAGTAACCCAGAGGATGCACTATCGGAGTGAGAGCTTCAGTCTCCATGGGGAAACTATCCATGTCCTTGGTACTTCATGACCAAGATAGGTCTCAACTTTGTGTCTTAATGTGCATTAGAAAAATGGAGAAAATGACCTCAAGCTACTGCCTTAATTGTAATCTTAACTTAGCAACATTTGTTTCGCCTGCTATTCCCCGTGCTCTGGTTCATTACACTGTGTTCAGTTCCCTTCCTGGAGCCAAATATAGACCTTTTCCTTTTCCTCTCACTGACCTTTTTCTTGCCTTTGCAAATTCTCTCCAACACCACTGCATAAAAGTGGTTTTTTTTCCTAGCTATATTGCATATTTCAAGGCTTTGAACTTCAGTTTGGTGGCTTGGGTTTAACCTCCCTAGCTGGCCACTGCTGTGGTCCGTGTCTCTGGGGAGGACTTCAGAATCATCGTGCCCCCCAGAAAAAGATGAAGGGGTGTCAGAGCCGACTCCAGCGTCTGGTAGCTCTGCCCCAGTGGAGATCTGGGCTCAGGGACTGGCCAGCCCCAGCCTGGGCCCAGCCATGGGCAGTGTGGCCGGATCGGCACTGCAGGATGTGGAGAGCTGGCGTGCCAGGCAGGGCCATCCCCCTGGATGCCCCCTCCTGCTCCCAGCTGTCCTCTATGCACCCCAGAAGTAACACAGATTAGGTCTAGTAAGAAATCCGTGCTGCCACGTGAAAATCCTCTTGTTATGATGTGTACATAGTGTTGTTATCTCATAGTCTCTGCATGTCATCATTATACCAGGCTTTTGTTCCACTGTTAAAAGGTATTGTGTCAATCCTTAGTGGGATGCTTTCCTCTTTTTTGCTTTTTGTTGCTGTTTAGTCATTTTATTTCTTTGTATTAAGCAACAAAGCCATGAAAAATAATTTTTTCCTTTTTTTTTTTTTTTTTTTCCAGATGTAACATTCATCCACGAAGGAAATAAAACTTTTCTGGATAACCTTGTTAATTTTGAAAAGCTGGTAAGCTAATTTTGTTCTTCCTCTTTTTCAAAGCAATTCACCTTCTCGTCTTCCCTTTCCCTTCCTTATCTTGTAAGACTAAAAGGTTTTCTTCTGGCTGAATTGGGAAGAAAAAAGTGGGTAAAAAAAGAGGAAACAAGATAAAAGAGCCAACAGTCCATCTCTCCTGCCCCTTTCCTCTGCTCCTCTCTCTTCTCTCTCCTTCCTCCCCCACTTCTGTGTAAAATGGCTAAGCCAGTAATGGCCAGCATCCACCTATTTTTTTTTCCCAGAGAGAATTATGCCTTTGCACCACCTCGTGGGCTATTTCTCCTCAATTAAGCTCTCCTGCTTTAGCTTTCTCTGAATTATGTTTCCTTCTTTTTTCTCAGGGCACTAAAGAAAAGATTTCTCTAGTTTATCACTTGCTACTGGTATGCTAATTCTGGGGATCTTAAATGAAAGTAAAATTTTTGATCTGGGTTAGATGATGAAGAAAATAGTGCCTGAAACATGAGTTAAACAGACTGTAAACACCACTATGCTAACTGTTATGTAGAAGGGCCCTTACTGACATTGTATCTTTGGCCACATCTACTCTAGAAATCATATGGCATCTACTCTGGCATGGCATTCC